GAAAAACGACGGAAATTCAAGTATTCTAATGTCAAACGTAAAAAAAAAAAAAAAAGAAATATGGAAATAAAATAGATATTCTTTTGTTTTTCTCTTTTTTATTTTATTTAATTTTTAAATAAATATTTTTGTATTCGTTGCAGGCGTAAACACAAAAAAATATGAATATGATAGAAGCGATCAGCAGAGGAAACCGAAAAAACCAGCAACAAAAAAAATAAAAAAAACATTGTTTAATAAGTTGCAAATTGAATAAATATTGATAAAAAAGTAATTTAATAGTTTATATTTGAATATATTTTCTGAAACTGCGTTTATATAAACACCAACAGCAGCACTGACATAGAGAAAAAAAGAGAGAAATTTCGTGTTTTTTATGCTTACCCTCTTGCTGCTTGTAAAGTTTTAATTAGTTGTTTTATTTTCCATTGTTCAATAGACTGATCGACATCCGCCATTTTTTTTGGTTTTTCTGAACTTTCTAAGAAAGCTGAATTGAAAATTCAAGTTTGCGGTGTATAGGCACCTGCGGATGCAGCAGTGGTTGGGGGCGGTAAACGCCGGGAATCTTGGAGTTTAATGATTTATTTTGAGGTTTTATGGAAAATAAATGTTTATTATGATGAAAAAAGAGAAAAAAAAGAAAAAAACACGCAACCAAGAAGAGGAAATTCAACTGTTTTCTGCTGCTGATGCTGCTGATGCCATACCAACGCCAAGAAAGCTGCACTTTTGTGCTCGGCAGAGGCCGAGTAGAAGTTCTTCTGATGCGCCAGCATGAAAAAAAAGACGAAAAGAAAACAAAAAGAAAAAAAAAAATAAATTTTAAGTGAATTTCTTCCGTGTTCAGAGCTCGCAAAAACAACAGAAACCAGAGCTCCCTAGACACCCGAAACCGAACAAAAAGCAAACGCAGCTGCAGCACCCCCAAAACCCAGAAAAAGAAAAAGAAATTAACAAAAATATTAAAGTTTTTTTCTTTTTAATTCAAAACACAAATAAAAAACTACATTTATTTACCCGATCAGTGCATGCACGCCAGCCCTAGAAACTGTACTTTTGTATAGAATGCTTACTACTATAAATTTTTATTTTTTTCGGGTTATATTGAACGCCCCACACAACAACTTATGAACTCTTTGAATTAAAATAATTTATTTAAAAATTTTTGTTTTTTTTTCTTTTTTTTTCTCTATTTTTCTCTCTGTTTCACAGCAACACCATCAACCCCCAGCCCCGAAGAGAGGGGCCGAAGGAACTCGCTGCACTCACCAGGTGTCTACGCAGCTGCTGTCTCTTTTTGTTTTATTTATTTATTTATTTATTTATATTTATTTTCTTTTTTATTTAATTTAATTAAAACTCTCAACGCAATAACATCTCCTTTGCTGCTCTCCTCCTCCTCTGCGTCTACACAAACCCCAACCCCTAGTG